AGAGACCAGGGGTGTGTGTGTGTCTGTGTGTCTGTGTGTTCACCAGGGTGCACTCCAGTTATGCAATTCACACTTCAGATCTGATTGTATGGTTCCTCCCAGAATCTCCATTGAAAGAGAGCTCCCAGCCATTTCTCAGCAGGCAGCGCTCCAGAATTCTTCATTATGCCCCTAAGTCCTGTCCCTGCTTCCTTTTCTGTGTCATCTCACTCCATTAGAACATCTGCTTCTTGAGGACAGGGATTGTCTTTCTTTTTGTATTTCCATTGTTTGGTACAGTGGCTGGCACATAGAAAGCTTAATAAAAGCTTGTTTCCTAACTGACAAACCAGCAAACATTTATTTAGCATGTTCTACATTCAAGGAATTATGCTCAGTACTAGAGGAAGATACAAAGATAGATAAAATGTAGATATTACCCTGAAGGAAGTTTATTATAGTCTAATCTGGACATGCCATGTAAACAAATAACAGGTATAAGCAGAACTTATGTACAGAGAGAAGTCCAGGCAAAGTGCTGTGAAAACCTGAGCAGAAGAAATGTATCACTTTCAGCTAAGGGGATATTGGGGAAGGCTTCATGAAGGCAGAAACAACCAAGTTGGACCTTAAAGGAAGAGAACTTCGGAAGGAAGAGACAGAGTAATAAGATAAGGAGTTTGTTATTGGAACGGTTTCAGCAAAGGGCACAGAGGGCAGGATGAGGGGCAGATGGAGAGTAGAGTCTGTGGAGAATAGTGTGGAAAAGCTGGAAAAGAAGTTGAAGCCAGATTGTAGAGGGTTTTCGGTATGGGAGTGTATATTCCTTCCTCCTTGACCTCTTCACACATTTCTTTTTTATGTTTATGGAAACCAAGCTCTGGCCACATGACCTTGCATGGCTGGCCACTATCTCCAGTGATGGTTGTTCCTTTTGTTATGTCCCCCAACACACTAGATCAGGAAGAATTGGCATCCTTCTTGTTCCCAGCTTCTCGACTTTGCTACCACCTATACCTCTACCACCATCACCCAGAAACCCCTTCTCCTTTGAAAAGGTTCACTTTTTCAATCAATGTCAATAGGTTCAGGTCCTTGTTATCTGCCCGGCTTCCCAGTTCATCATACCACAGGTACCCTGGTCTCGCCCTGAATCTCACCATTATTCATAGCTATGCCACTTTCTTGATTTTTTAACTCATTACACCAGTTAGATGTCAGCGTCCTTGACAGGAGAGCCAATTTTCATTTCCTCCTATGTATCCTCAGTGTCTGGTGCATATTGTTATATGTGCTTAATAATAATAAAAATGATGCTAGCTAACACTTACATAGCATCTACTATGTTCCAGGCATGTGTCAAGCAGTTTACAAATATGACCTCATTTGATCTTCACAACAATCCTGTGTAGTAGCTGCTATTAGTATCCTCATTTTACAGATAAGGAAACTGAGGCAAACAGAGATTAAGTGACTTACTCAGGGTCACTCTGCTAGTAAATATCTGAGGCTAGAGTTGAATTGAATAAAAACTTGTTGAATTGAATTAAACCTCTAATCATATTTTTCTTTCCTTCCATTTCTCCCTCTGCCTCATTTCTCATAAATCTATTTTTGAGGGACCAGATCTGTAATTTTATTAGTATAGGGAACTCTTGATGAGCAAACCCTCTCTGCCAATGCAGATGGGTACCTACTCTGCAACTTACAGTGCTGAGAGATGCTTGGACAATGAGATGTTAAATCACTAGTTCAGGGCCCATGAAGTAAGTATATATTAAAGGTGGGGCTTGAACCCAGGCCTTTTTGACTTCAAGGTTAGCTCTCTATTAAGTCAGGCTGCCTCTTCGAAGCCTATTCTTTACTCTCACCACAACCACTACTTCCTCTATCCTTTCCTGTACCCCCAACCCATCATCACTGCTCAGGCTTCACTTCCCCCTCCCTTGGAGTCTCGATCCTATAGTTAACCAAGTAAACTTTCACTTGTTGTCTTACCATCTTACTCCTCAAACCTCTCTACCACTGAATCTTTCCAGCTACTGAATGATACTGGAGAAAAACATATCATTGTGCCCAAAGGGTCCATTATAAGCTCACCATTATCTAAGCGCATTGTAGGAGCGATAAACCTTTCTTTTTCCTTTAGTTACTCTAGCATATTTCCTCACAGGTTGTTTCAAATTTCTTCTGTCCCTCAAGCACTGTGATGTCTCCTCGACTCCCCCTCTCAGCTTTACTGAGAAAATTTCCTATGCTGTGAGCTCCCCTTCCTACCTAACTTGATCATTTTAAGCCCTTCTACATTTTCACCCATCCTTTATATTTGTCTCCAAGAAAAAGAAAGTCTCCTCTTACCAAAATCAATTCTTCTCCTTCTGTTCTATATCCTACCCTGCCTGTCTCTTTCAGGAATTTGGTTGACCATTCCTTTTCTTGGTCTCATCTTTTTAAATCTTTCTGTATCTATCTACTAGCCCTTTCCCTATTGCCTTCAAACATGCTCTCATTTACTTTAACCTTGAAAAACTCTCACTTGACCCTGCCATCCCACTCAAGGTATCCTTTCGTATCTCTCCTCCATTTCCCTGCCAAAATCCTACAAAGAATTTCCAATACTCCCTTCCTCTTCTCCAGTCACTTCTCATTGCCTTTTGATACCTTTTCTAGCACCAATACTCAACTGAAAATGTTCTCTCTGTGATCAACAATCTCTTAACTGCTGAAAATTTGATGGGATCCTTGTTCTCTGCAACTTTTAATATTGTTCATTATCTCTTCCTCGTGGCAATTTTTTTCCCTTCCTTTTAGGCATGATGCTACTCTTTCCTAGTTTTCCTTCTAAATATCTCACCAATATTCAGTCTCTTTTGCTGGAGCATCATCCATCTTCTGTCACTTTGTTTTCTCTAAGGCTCAGTCCTGCACTGTCTTTTCTATTTAGATGTGTTCTCTTGGAGTTTCCATAGGGTCAAGTATCATCTTAGTGCCAATGACTCCCAAATCTGTACATCTCTCCACTGAACTCTAATCATACATCAGCTGCCTACTGGATTTCTCCACCTGGTTATCCTATAAACATTTCAAACTCAAATGTCCAAAATGAAACTCTATCTTCCCCTATAAATCTGCCCCTACACTTAACTTTGATATTTTTGTCGAGGACATATGATCACCCAGTCAAAACCTGTCATTTTTACTCTTCCTTTTTTCTGACTCCCCAAACCCATTCTATTACCATTTTCCCCCTTTTTAAAAAAAATGTCCATTTTGAACTTAAATACAAAAAGAAAAAATGTTCACATGCAAAGCGTAGTACAAAAGAAGGATTCAATATGAAACTATCAATCTCCATTTCACTGTTAACTTTAAAAAAAATATAATAAATACTACACATTGTTTTTAAAGCTACCCTGTCTTTCTGTGCTTCTGAGTTTTCTTTTGTTCTCTGCTGTGCATTTTAAAGTTTTTTCCTCCAGCCATTTCCAAACTGAACTATAAAAGGCCACCATTACACACAGTGTTTGTGTGTGTGTATGTAAAACCATACTATATATACTTTTATTTACCAGTTCTTTCTCTGGAGGTGGATAGCATCTTCTTTCATAGGTCCTTTGCAGCTGATTTGAGTATTTATAATACTCAAAATGACTTGGTCATTCACAGTTGCTCTTAGAACAATTTTGCTATTACCATATACAACTTTCTCCTGGTTCTGCTCATTTCATGCGCCATTACCATCTCGTCCATTTTACCTTTACAATACATGTCAAATCAGGTTTATTGTTCTTTCCTTTATAGTTTGTATTTATTATGTATACGGCTTTCTTGGTTTGCCTACTTTGCTTTGCATTATTTCATATGTCTTCATATGCTTCTTTGAATTCTTTGAATTTACTCCAATATTCATACATTCATGTACCAGTTTGTTTAGCCATTCCTTAACTGATGGAAATCTACTTTGTTTCCAGTTTGTTACTATCACAGAAAGGATTACTATAAATATTTTGGTATTTATGGCATGTTTCTTTCTGCATTTGATCTTGGGGTGAATGCCTACCAATGGGGTCTCTGGGTGAAAAAGGTAACATTTTAGTAATTTTTAGCATAATTCCCATTTTTTCCCCCAGAATAGTTGTACCAATTTTCTTTTTTCAATTTATGAAGTTATGAAGTTTATAAAGTTCCATTTTTTTTTTTTTATAGAGGCAGCTTGCTAGGTGATACAGTAAACAGACCATGGGTCTGGAGTCAGGAAGATGAATTCAAATTCAGCCTCAGACATTTAGTAGCTGTATAACCCAAGGCAAGTTACTTAATTGGTCTGTCTCTGTTTCCTCAGCTGTAAAACGGGGATAATAACAGCATCTATCTCCCAGGATTGTTGTAAGGATTTAATGAAATATTTGTAAGGTGATTAGCAATGAACAAAAAAGAACATGTTCAAAAAACAAAAAAAAGGAGGAAGGGATGTGAAACTGAATTTATGTTATGTACAGTTAAGTGTACATTAAGTTACATGTTAATGTAAGGCACACAAACGTGGCAGTTGTGACTTCCTTACTACATAAAATTTCTTCCTTTTAGGCATGACTCTGCTCTTTCCCGGTTTACCTTCTACATGTCTCGCCAATATTCTGAGTCTCTTTTGCTTCGTCCTCACCCATTGTCTGTACCTTTATTGCTTTAATTTAATTTGGCAGTAATAAAAATTGTCATTTTTATGTGCCTTTCTTAATTTTTTCCCGGGCATTTTCTGTATTCTATTTTTTAAAAATTCTTTTTTTTTTTTGCATTTATATCAAACTACTACCTAATCACCCATTCCTCCACAATAAACGTAACTCCTTCCTTGCAACAAACAAGGATAGTTCAAACAAAATAAATCAACACGATGGCTATGCATCACCTGTCTCTCAAAGCCGGAGTTTTTTCAATTCTCAAAATCAATCTTTTCAAGCCATGATTAGTCGTTGCTTTGCTAAGAGATCTAAAGTCTTACGAAATTGTTTTTTCTTTACCTTACTACGGTCTTTGCATTCTGTGTTCTCTTGGGGCAGCTTTTGCTCCACATCTGAGTTGATTCAAGTCTTACCAAGTAAGTTGCTTGGAAATTCAATTTCTTATGGCACAATAACAGTCCATTACATTCATATACCAGAATTTGCTGGCCTCAATCTTTGAGCGCCCACATTGTTTCGGGGTCTTCGCTACAACAAAACTGGTGTTATAAATATTTCCGTTCTTGTGGGTTGGACCGGGGTGTTCTTAGATGTTTCCAGGATAAAGTTAGGAAGCATGGTTCAAATTCAAATGAGAACTGATGGGTGGAGCTGCCCTGGCGTCCTGCCCCTCGGTTCCGGGGCTGAGAAGCGAACTCGCGATAAATTTTAGGGGCGCGTGAATGGGTCGGGGGCATCGCCCCTCCAGGTTCGTGGGGTGTAGCTCCTAGACCTCAGGGCAGCCTCGGGGCGGGGAGGGGGTGGGAAGAGGACGGAACGGGAGGAGGGGGAGGGGGGATTCCGGGAACAGGACGGGGCGGGGCCGGGACCGGGGCTAGAAGGAAGGAGGGTCTCTGTTCCCGTCCCGCTTGCCCCCACAATTCCGACGGGAGATGCTCTAGGCTGCCACCGGCCCCGGCGCTGGCTCCAGCTGCGGTCCTGACCCTGCTCCCACGAAGGGGACCGAGCGCCCAGTAAGTCCGTCCGTCCGTCCATCTGCCCACTGGTGCGTCCCAAGGTCCTTCCATGGCGGCTTCGTCCTCCTCCGGACGCTTTTTCCTTTTCTTGCTGCTATTACCTTCACCGCTGGGCGGTGAGTGCCGTACTGGGAGAAGCCACGGGATGCCCCAACCGGGAAGAGAGGGGGAGGGATGGGGGCAGGGCTGGGGAGGGGGGGTTCCACCTGGGCCGAGGGCGGGAGTTGGGGGGGCGTCCTTCTTGGACGCGGTGGCGGCTTCCACTGAGCCACGGAGTCCACGTTGGAGCGAGCGCTATCCTCCTCCGCACCCTGGCCTAGACGGAAGGGCTGGGGGTCCTAGACCTGTAGCCCAGACTTTTGACTCCTTATCCCAACATTCGAAGAAGTTCTTTTCCCAGTGGGGGTGGTGGGGGGGACAAGTCTAGGCAAAGCCCAGTCCACCTCCCAACCTTGCCTCCCACTCCAACTCACTCTCCCATTTGAGGATGTTAGGTTGCCAACCTCCACCGAGTGCCTAAGTAACCTCCCTTCAGGGTCACTGTGACCTCCATGACCCCTATCGGACCCTTTATTTACTAACCCCAACTTTACTCTAATCCCAGGACTGGGGAGAAAATTTCTAACCTCGCCCCTCCCCGTACCTCCCTGGACTAGACCTTTGCTGCCAGGGGTCTTGAATTTGGCCCACTGTGTGCCAGACTGCCTATCAAACCCCCTTGCCCCTAGATATTCAGAAGGAAGGAATGAGATGATATGACATTAACTTTTCTGGGCCTTAAGTTTCCTCATGTGTAAAATGGGGATAATCCTGCCTTGGCTTCCCCAACTAAGAGAGTCAAATGAGAGAATGACTTTGAAAAGATACGTAGGTTGCTGTTATTTTATTGTATAGCAGTGACATACTTCAGGGCTGGAGTAAGCCCAGAGTGTAGGACTTCTCATGTGGCCTTGAGTGGGGCAGTGGATAGAGCACCAGGCCTAGAGTCAGAAAGATCTATCTTCCAGAGTTCAAATCTGGCTTTGGACAAGTAGCAGCAGTGTGACCCAGGGTAAGTCGCTTAACCTTGTTTAACTCAGTTTCCTCATTTGTAAAATGAGCTGGAGAAGGAAGTAGCAAACCACTCCAGCCTTTTTGCCAAGAAAACCCCAGTTGATGTAATGAAGAGTCGGACAAGACAGAAATGACTGAAGGAGTACTTGAAAAGCACAGGCTGGTTGGTACATTAAACCCACTCACTATCTTGCATAAGAGAGGAGCCTGAAGACAGAGCTGGCAGGGCTCTTATTTTAAGTAGGGGGAAACTGAGACTGAGAAAGGAAAAGACTTGGTCCAGGTTCATACAGGGATTTGCCAGGTCAAGGGCTAGGAAAAAGGCTAGCCTATTTTCCATCTACCGATGGCACTGTTTTGAGTACTGTTGTAATCTGTGCTCAAGCAACAACACAGTCTGTTTTCCAGGTAACATGTGGCGGAGTGTGGCAGAATCTTTCGTTTCTCAGGGAAGCTGCCATATTTTCACCTGGTTAAACCTTAGGCAGATAGCGACTCCAGTAGGGATTCTGGGGTTTGTATTGGTTTGGTTAGGGAGGATTGCTGGGGTGCAGGGTAGTGAGTCTGGGCTGGGGACAATGTTTCTCATTGTCCTTCCTTCATCAATCCATCTGGGACTCAGAAAGTTTCCTGGCCCCCTGGTGAAACAACAGACTTGGTGGCCCTAGCTAGTCTGAGCTAGAGAGGAAGAATGTATGAGCTCACCCTTATGTCTAGTGTGTTAAATGGGAGCTCAAACGAGATATTTTTTTTTTTTACTCAGAATGTGATCTGTCAGCGCATGGCAAGACCAGATATCCATGCGGCTCCTTATCGTGTTCCCATGGTCCTGGGAGGAGGGGGAGGGGTGACACACCCAGAAATATTCTAGAGGAAGTAAACACAATTCCTCTGAAAATGTGGGTAGGACAGAGGTGAATTGTGTGTTTGCATGTACATGATACATAGTGCAGAAGGGGGTAGTGTATATATGTGTGTGAGTGATACCAGTGCAAAAGGAAATTGTGTATGTCTGTCATTTACAACCTAGAGGGAAGCTATGTGTCTATGTTACACAGCATGCGGCATTTGTGTAATTATGTGATACACAGTTCCCAGAGAAATTGTATATATATCTCTAATACATGTACGTGTGTGTGTGAGAATGAGAGAGAGAGAGAGAGTACAGAAGGGAATTGTGTATGTGCACATGGTATACAACAGGAATTGTGTATACATATTCAATATACAGCACAGAGGGTTACTGTGTATATGTATGATATACAACACAGAAGGGAATTATGTGTGTGATATCTAAAATATAGTTGGGAGATTAGTTTTCAGCCTCATGCAGGAATAAAAGGGGAAAAGCTTTAGGGTGGGATGGTTGGTTCCTTATTGAGCTCAGTAAACAAACAGCCACAGATTGCTAAATTGAACATAGGCATTTACTATCTGGTCTCAACCCAGGAGTGCACTTTCGAGAACTGGTGCTATGAGCCCTGGATCAGTCCAGACTGAGCCTTGAGCCATCATCAGAGTCTGAACCCTGACCTCAGCCCCACACTAAGTCTTGGCACTGGCCACTGACTAAGCCCCTACTTATTAAATGCCAGTCCAAACCTGATCTCTGATACAGAATGGGCCCTGAGCCTGAACAAAACAGAGCCCTAATCTCAGCCTTGAGGAGGAACTCTGATCATGGGCAGTTATTTCACCATTTTATATTGTTGGTCATGATGGAGACTGAGTGAGAGAATACAGTTAATTCAGTATAGCTCCTTTCTTTTGCTAGCAACAGGGCTCAGAGCCCATGTGCCTTGCTGAGAAAAATCAGTAACTTGCCTTAGTTCATGAAGGAAGAATGGGGGTTAGAAGACCAGATGGGGACTTTTTAAGAACCTGGAGAAACAGTTAATGAGGCTTTTTGAAGTTAGTTATGTTTTGATTTTTGTCTGTGTATCTCCCCAGTGCCTAATTCAATGCCTGGTACCTAGTTGGAGTTTAATAAATGTTGAATTCAATGTTTAATGGTTGCCACATTGTTCTAACTTGCATATAATAGTGATTCTCTGGTTTAGAGGGGGCATATTTGAGGAGGGTGGTCTTTTTTTTAAAATAAATTATTTATTTTTAGTTTTCAATAATCACTTTCATAAGCTTTTGAGTTATAAATTTTCTCCCCCTCTTTCCCCATCTCCCTCCCCAAGACAGCATGCAGTCTGATATAAGCTATACATATAAATTCCTGTTAAACATATTTTCACATTAGTCATGTTGTAAAGAATTAAAACCAATAGGAGGAACTACAAGAAAGAGGAAACAAAACAAAACTGAAGAAAAAAAGAGCAAATGGTGTGCTTCCATCTGCATTCAAACTCTATAGTTCTTTCTCTGGATGTGGATAGCATTTTCCATAATGAGACTTTTGGAGATGTCTTAGATCCTTGCATTGCTGAGAAGAACTAAGTCTAATAAAGTTAGTCGTTGTACAACGTTCTTCTCGTTCTGCTCACTTCACTCTGCATCAGTCCATAGAAGTCTTTCCAGGTTTTTCTGAAGTTGAAGGGGTGGTCTTTGTATAGGTTGTGTTTTGTGTTTGTGAGGCTGGTTAGATAAACTTGAAGCACTTTAGGCAGTTCTATCGTGTAAGGATTGAAAGATAGCTGAGTGATTGCTTCATTAGAGAGGTGGAAACTCAGGACTTCCTGATTGGCTGAGAGTGAACTTGGGATTGGAGAATGGACCAAGGAGTTCATTTGGAGGTGCTCCATGATGTCAGACCAAGGGGGTAGGCCAAGAAGATGCTGTTCTGAAGATTTCATTGTTTTGGGGGGTCCTAGGATGATGCCAGAAGGTTTTCTCCTTCTTAAGAGATGTCTTTGAAAGATTTCCCCCATGACTGGTGGAACTGATCCATTGATAAAGCAAAGGGCTTTGAAATTGGGGGCTGGGAGGGAGGTACTTAGTACCCCAGTTTCCTCAGGGCATTCTGGGCTGTCAGTTTCATCCCTGGATGTTGATGCCCCAGAAAGTATATCCTGAGGAGACCAGAGAAGGTAGTCACCTCCACCTCAAAGGATTCTCTACAGGAATCTTTATCATCAAAGTACAAAGGAAAAGAGGGTGTTTCTCTTCTTCAGGAATCAGAGTAATTATTTTATCTTTTGTTGTTTCATTTCACTTCACAGGAAACCTCCAAAAAAAAAAAATAGCTTCCTTTTCATGCAAATATCCCAGTTGTTGATCAGGGATCCACAGCTGCCCTTGCCAGTGCCTACCCTGATCAGTATTTATTTCTTTGAAAAGTAAAAATCTTATTGATTTAAAAAATGGATTTATGTTGCCAGACTTTGTTATAAAAATGCTTTAATTTCTGCCTAAAGTTAGCAAGCACGGGTGTGTTTGCAATTTAGTTTTTTTCCTAATTTGCTTTAAGCAGAGAAAAAATGTTAAGCCTCTTCACTAGAGCATATGCTTGAGGTAGTGAGCTCCCTGTTTCTTTCTTTTTTTTTTAATTTTATTCTATTTTCAGGTTCAAATCGTCTTTCTCCCTCTTTGCCCTCCTCCTCTCCCTTTCCCACCCATTGAGAATGGCAAGAAAAACAAAGTCTGTCACACATGTTTATAGTCATGCAGAATAAATTCCCGTGTTAGCCACGTTAAAAAAAAAAAAGGAAGAAGTAAAAGAACATCTGTTTCCATCTATACTCTGATTCCATCACTCCTCCCTCTGGAGATGGACAGCGTGTTTCATTAGCAGCCCTTTGGGATTGTAGTTGGTCCTTGTGTTTATCAGAGTTGCTCATTTTTTCTGAGTTGATTGTTCTTTACAGTATTGTTGTTATTATATAAAGTGTTCTCATGGTTCTGCTCACTTCACTTAGCATCAGTTCACATAAGTCTTCCCAGGTTTTTCTGAAAATTCCCCCTTCATCATTTTTTTTGCTTTTTGGTGAGGCAGT